TGCGATTTTGTTGATGACTGGGGCTTTCAGTGGATGCTGACTGGGGCTGTCAGACTTGTATGTAACTCTATTCACTTTCTTTTTTCTGGAAACTTCTTGCAGCGGGGAACTAGCATAATGGTTACAGCAAGAGGCTCCTTGACAGAGTGGAAAGAAAGGCTTTGGAGCCAGCCATCCCTCTATGTGGCGAGTTATTTAATTTCATTGGGCCATAACTTCTTCATCCATAAATTGTGGATAATAACATCTACTTTCTTGTGGAACAATTTTAAGGACAAGGGAGGAATTAGAGAATGCTCCTTATACAGGGCTCATGTCTGTTGAGTGTTTGTTCCATGGTACTAGTATTATTACACAACTCTGTGAACTGGGTGGGGACCGTCTGTCAAGACAGTGAAGAGAGAAAGAGTCTTGCTATTTATTATGTTCTATAGCCCTTTCCAAACACGGGTGATGACACAATCGCCTGGGACCCTGGTTAAAAACTCAGAGTCCTGGGTTCCATTCTGGGAATTCTGACTGTAGAGGTCTGGAGGGATCCAGGAATCTACAGGACTCAATATGATCCCAGGGGATCACAGTTTTAGAAATAACTGCTATAGAATACCTAATCAATTCTATCGATATAATCATGATGATTTTGACTGTCACTAGATCATTTTTTAAAAAACGATGATATTGTTCTCAAGATGTTAGCTTAATGTTGTTGTTGTTGTATAGACAAACTTCTATAAGTGATACAAAATAAGTCCGAATATTTTTTCCTAGTAATTTATGGATTGTTTCTCTTCTCAAAAAACCCTGGTTTTTAGCTTTCTGTGTGTGATAGACTCTTTATAAAATTTAAGGAAAGCTTCGGATTCACGCCTATGTAGGCACAACCCTTATTAGTACAAAAGCCTCCAGCGTCCCATTCAAATACAGCCTGGGAGCCAACGGACCTCAGGTTAAAAGCACCTGGGGTTCAATACTCAGGTATTAACCACTGCAGTTTAGAGAACTACTTCTGCAGTCTTTAGATTTTACGGGTCTAAACCGTGGTTATTGAGCAATGGGAAAAAATGTGACCTTTATGTATCTTTTTGTTACTTCTCAAGTAGCTGTGATTGCTTATTCTGTAGGAGGGTTAGAAAGCATAGTTCTTTACAAAACCGAACTGGAGAATTCTAATAAGGAGGCTGTTTATTCTGCAAAAATAACACAAGTTTCTACTTTGGATAACAAGGAATTCAGTAAAAACAAACCTTAAATTCCACAGATTCTACTACAAATTTTGGCAAAATCGGTATGTATTATCCAGCAAGTTTTACCATTCTTAATACATCTAAGCCCTGGGAGAGAAATGTACGGCAATGCACATTTTCTTTTTGTTGTATTACCACTGGGATTAAAATACTTCAACAGCCCAATGCTCTTAGGAAAAAGACTAAAACCATTTCCTTGACCTGGAAGACTCTGCTTACCTGGCCTTATTTATCTCTCCAGCCTCAGTCGACACCACACTCCCCTCACCCTCTGGTCTCCTGTTACACTGGCCTCCTGGAATCCCCCTCACATGCCATGCTCCTACAGCCACATGGCCTTTGCATGTGCTTTTGCTCCACCTGGAATGCTCTTCTCCACCCTCTTTGCCTACTTAATCATTACTTATTCATAGATCACAGCTAAATTATCTTTCCTGACAAGGTCAATTTCTGAATCTCTCCTTCATAGCCCTTATCATAGTTCCAATTTTGCATGTATTTATGTGATTATTTGATTAAAAGCTTGTTCCCCACTAGACTGGAAGCTACACAAGGACAAGGATCACAAGTGTTTTTGCTACCCAGACCATAACGACTTGGCGCTCCATGACCATTTGTTAACTATACGGAAGAATGAATGAATGCTTGCATCATCTTGTGTCAACCCAGCATCTGTAATATAGTACGAAACTCAATAACTAGGTAAGGGTCTAGGAATACACCTTTGGGCTTCAGTTTCATAGGTATAAAAGGAGGGTGTCTGAGTAAATGATCACTGGGTTCCCTTTCAGTTTTAAAAACCAGGGATTCAACAACCCAGAGTCCCTCAACTGAGGAATAGATTAACAAAATGTGGCATACCCATTTGGTGGAATATTATTCAGTTATAAAAAGGGATGAAGTACTTTTTGATACTTGCTACAACGTGGATAAACCCTGGAAATACTATGCTGAGTGAAAGGAGCCTCTCACAAAAGACCACATACTGTATTACTTCATTTATATGAAATGTCCAGAAGAAGAGGCAAATCCATAAACAGAGAAACTAAGAGAGCAGTTGCCTAGGGTACATGTAAGGTGGAAAGGTAGAGACTGCTAATGGGTGTGGGGTTTCTCTCAGGGGTGAGGAAAATGCTCTAAAATTAGATAGTGAAGATGGTTGCATAACTGTGAAAATACTAAAAATCACTAATTGTATCATATAAAAGGGTGAATTTTTATATGTGAATTATATTTCAACATAGCTATTATTTTAAAAAAAAAGTCAATGACCCAGTGGCTATGTTAATTAATTCACAGTTTTAATACTAAAATCTAAATTCATTTGGTAAATATTAACTTTTTTTTAGAAGTTTAAGTTTTCAAAGAGGTTTAAACCCATGCAATGGTAAAATCTTCCTTTAATGGAACAAAATTTTCAGAATATTCCTTCTGACTATTTCTTCATTGGTTACTATATATTAAACACTGAATTATACCCTGTCTAGTCAGACTCTGTTAAAAAATGCATGAAACATCCTCCCTGATTTCAAGGAGCTTATGTAATCATATCTGGGATGGTAATTAACCATAACACAAAGCACAGAGTGAGAGCACAGAAGAAAAAGTACAAATCAGGGTCTATGCTGAGTCAAAGGAAAGATGATGTTGGATTTCAATTATTCTAGAGAGAATGGCATTTAAGAGGAGCTTTATAAAGTTACCCATGATTTAGGAAAGCAGGGGATGAGAGACAGAAGAAGAAGACATTTAGGGAAAGCAGAAGTAAAAGAATAGAAGTATAGGAGGATGGGGCAACGAGAACTACACACGGTTGGCACACGGGGAATTGTGGGAGATGGAAATGGAAATACAGGTGGCAGCCATATGACAGAGAGCTTGCAATCCTAGTTGGAAGAACGTATATCATTCTGTAGTAACAGGGAGTTCTTGGAGGTTTTAGGTACGATATTATATAATCGGTTGTGTTTTAGGAAGATTAACCTTGAATTGAAATGGATGAGCTCATCAAATATTTGTGGAAGAAGTATTTTTGGATAGACCAATAGTCTTGGGAGAGACCAAGGGTAGGGTGGCAGAATCAGGAAAAGCTAGCAAAGACAACAATGAAGAAACAAGACAAGTCAGCCTTGCAGAATCTAATGAAAAAGGGATTTCAAGGAGAAATGGGTGGCCACTATCTATTTACGTGTGTGTATAGCATTTAATCTTTGACAGTCTTCTGATGTTTTATACTTGTCTGAGGTCTCACAGACAGCTGTGGGTGACAGAATCAAGACTGAAATCAAGTTTTCAGTATTCCTTCCACTGCATCTTTGATATGGCAGAGACAAGTCATTCAGCATGAAGGCTAAGGGACAACCATTCAATTGTTTAATAAGATTAGCACAGGAAATCTCCCAAAAAGTATTTTTAGCTAGTAGTAGGGTGAAAAAAAAATCTAGCAAAATGCTCAGAAGAGAATGAGACAGATAAGAAATGAGTGATAAGTGCAGCCGGCATTTAGAGGAGCTGGAGCAAAGGGAATGAAGAGAGGGTAGCCAGAAACAGAAGCAGGTTTGAGCAGTAAGCTCTGAGCCTGGAACTTTCCGAATGGAGATTCTGGAGTAAAAGGCACCAAACTGGTCAAGATCCAGCGACGTGCACAGGCAGTGGGGAAAGGCAGCGACAGGGTCGTACACTGAAGGTCATGCAAAGAGAGGGAATAACTGACCGCACTTCACAATCTGTTCCTATGGACTGGCCCTGGGATCAAATTTTATATTATCTCCTCACTGATTCGCTTTAGTCAGTGGAACAGGTGTCTTTCCCTGTGCTGAAGTATATATCTCTTAAGATACTACAAGAAAAAAACATTACATATTCAGAACATCCTTCAACTTTTGAAAATCCTTTAAATGTCAAATTGAATCCAATGGTTATATAGTTCCCAATTCTGTTTAAAAGTAGAATGCCATCTCCTTGGAAATGTACCCTGGATATAATGGCGAAACATAAGAAGTGTTAGTGAACGTATGAGTTTTGCTAGTGTTTTATTATACTAACCGGCAGATGGTATTGGTTTTTCTGATCATTCAAAATAAAACAATCTCAAAATACATTTCAGATTAATAAATATTTCTGCTGGAACTTAACAGGAACACAACAGCAAATAATATATTTAATATCATTAATGCTGTAAGTTTACTGTGAAGTCCTCGTAAAATACAAATATCAGACCTTCTTTACCACATGTCACTTGAGTTAGCATTTGACTTTCTGCTGTTGTTATTATTTCTTTGAATGACAATTTAACTATGCAGTTAGCTCCAAAAAGGAAAAAGAGCCTCATAGATGCAAAAGCAAATGACTCAGAGATATGACGTCAACAATCAAATGCCACCGTTATTTATTACATTCAAAATGATGTCATCAAACCAAAAGAAGAGATTTGTACAGATTTTTCTAAAGCTTCTCTATATGCCCAACTTCATAGACACAGACGCTAACTAGTTTCTGATTCAACTGGGTCCACAAAGTGAATCTACTATATGTTTTAACACCAATTTCCTTATTCTTTCTCCATATGTTAACACCAAGAGGAAGACCTGTCCTTTTACTGTGCCTGAAAACTAAATATGTGTAGTTATACCCAGCAGCTCTCCATTTCTTTTATAATTTTACATACATATTTTTATTTTTACATATATTTTTATTTATATTTTATATTTTTACCTAAATTTTTACATGGACATATATTTAGAAACAGTCTTCAAGTAATTTTCTGAAAGAGTTAGAAATCAAAAAGACTGAACAATTTATGACTAATGGTCCTCGGAGGTGGTGTCAACCTAATGGATGCTTTCTTAAAGAAAAGGCTTGATATATGATTTAAGTGAGGAACTCCATTTTACAAATTTGGAAAATTTCCTTTCTACTGGGTTTTCCCATCATAACATGAACACAGGTCACTAATAAACTGACGATGTGTAAACGAGCATCCACTTGAACATCCATCTAGCCCCTCGTTAACACTAGCTTCTATCCCTTATCAAAAAGTCAAGGTCTTTGCTCTTTAATCAATTCCCAGACAACTGTCTGAAGATAATATCTGACCACACAACACAAATTTGATACCATTCCACTGCAAACTAAAATTGCAAGTCGTGCAAAAGATGCAGAATTTCTTAAAGAGCATGAAGGCAATGTTGGAGAAATGTTCAAGTAACAGACAGATCATGGAAAAATGAATATCTGATATGGTTAGACCAGTTTCCCAGTGAAAAAGGGAAAATCCACAAGGATGAGGACACACTATTCCCTTTAGCAGATAGTTATTTGTATGTTACAATAATTATAAACTAGAAAAAATTGATTAAGCTCTTGAATTTTTTACAAAAACAGCCTCTTTAAGGAGCATGCTGAAAAAGTCAAATGTGACATAAAGGATGTTGAATTGTTCTCTAGTAAAATCTGTGGGGAAATCACTCTCAAAAAACCCAAACAACACCTGATTTATTTTTCTTAGAATTAGCACAGAGTTGTGATTATAAAGGCAATATGTCTATGCAGTTATAATAAACATTTAATAACATGTAATTTATTTTCTCAAACTAAAGATTGCCTCACACTTCTTTTCACTGTTTTTAATGAAATTTGATCTGTGTTCGAAGAAGATTCACTTTAAATGTCCTCTTTTCTGATACCACTTATTGTTGGATAATGAAGTCCTCTTGTACACGTTTAATGCAAAAGATATAATTTGAATAAATCTATTTCCATAAGTACTGTCTAAAAGTCATACTGCATTTTAAAAATGCAGTTTCTTAGAAAAGTCCAGTTATCTCTATCTAAGTATTTTCCTTTCAAGCTTATTTATTCACTTTTGTACCCTCCCCCCTTCCCTCCCTCTCTCCTTCTCCCTCTCTCCCTCTTCCTTTCTCCCTTTCTGTCTCTCTCTCTCTCTCTCTCTCTTTCTCTGGGTATATTTCTGCTACACTAACTCAACTACAATGGGAAATTCTCGACTATTTAAACTATTAACACTGCCTCTCTCTTATTACCTCTCCTATACCATAACCACATAGTCTGAAGTCTTCAGGATTTCTGTGGGGAGGCCATTAGTGTGGGAGTGTATCTCAGTTTGCAGAAGGATTCTGCTGGGGATTTGCCAATGCTAACACTTTGTCTTTCCAGTCCCCTTACACCACATGCCTGGCAAACTATAATTATCACTATTTTCTTTTACAGCAGGATAATTATTTGTTATTTTTGCTGAAGCAATAAAAGAACCAACAGTGTTCTCCCCACAAACAAGACTCAAGTGCACAGGGTTACAGGCCTGCCCCTCTGCACAACATGGACAGATCCCACTGTGCTCCATAAAACAGGCTGCCACTGAAGTTCCTCCAGTGAAATACCAAAGGCAAGTTCACAGACATCCTTTACAAAAAGCTTCCAAGAGCAAGCAAGTTAGTCACACTCAAAAAGATCTCCCTTTTCTTAGTTCCAATTATATTTTAACTGCTGATGTTCATCCCAGAGAACAAAGCTATCACTAAAAGGAACCTTGGTAAGGTTCTTGAGACCCGGAGCAAAATTCTTTTTGCTACAATTGATGATGTAGATGGCACTGACTGCGTCCCTGTGTGGCAGTCATTTTAGTTAACTCAAGGGCCAAACCACCAAATCAGCTCATCTGGATTAGGGCAGATTAGGACAGGATTTGGACGGCGTGTGTGTTTCAAGGGCACTGGGCGCAGACCTCATGAATACCCCAGTGTCTGCTAAGAATACTACACTGAAGCTATGATTAAACAACTGCAATCGTTCTAAGAATAAGTCTGTTCATCCTTCGTGGTCCCTAGCTTAATCTACAGCCTTCCTTTTGGTACCTCTCCTTAATGCTGGAGAGATCCAGTGAATCTCAGAGGTAGACTAGTGCAAACGAGTGAATGCACACAGTATGTAAAACCAAATAATCCAGCAGAACCCTGAGCTCAGTGGAATGTGTAACACGTCCCCCCAGGCAATCGCACATTTCTGTCTGGCAAAAGCAGGACATTTGTGCCTCTACCTTGAGTTTATACAAACTTTTCCAAATCTGGTTTTTTGCCACCTGAGCACACTCAGCCCTTAGATTGTTAAATCAACTTTGAAACCAGTAACAATTGTGGGTTGTTCCACTGATGAAAAGTTTGAGACAGTTGCTAAAAAGAAGGGTTCTCTTACAGCATTGTATTTATTCCAAAAATTGAGATTCTGTCAAAACTGTGCAAAACTGTGGCTATTCTGTTATGAGGCCAAAAACAGAGGATAAAAAGAGATGAGAAAGGGTTAAACAGCGATTAAGGAGTGGGGTAACTCCTCTGCCCCCTTAGCTATTAAAATTGAGCCAAAGGAGCTGCCCACATCAAGCAGAAAAGCTTTGAAAATGCACCTCTAAATGTTTCTCTGTGCCTGTTTCTCTCTTCTACATATAAAAGGTCAATGGAACACTACTAGGGAGGATACTGTTCATGTACTTCTGTCGGCTGTTTGTGCTAAGCTCGCTTTCAAGTTTCTACAACAAATGAGACAATAACCAGGAAGGCACACTGGAGGCGACAAAGCTCCCTCTGTTGATTATCGATTAGTGTCATGGTCTTTTTAGGCACCTGTCATGGGAACACGCTCGGTAGAAAAAATAACAGCCACGCCATGTTGTAGTTTCCACGCTGTACCTTAGCCTTAGTAAAACAAGGAGTTTATTTTTCCCAGAAACTCCTTGGCTTCAGGTCTGTCTGAAGAGGCAACCCTATTCACCCAGCTGTGACTGCCCCCATGCTTGAAGGCAGTTTGGCTCCTGGTTGGAGTTGGATGAAGAATGACTGTGCATAGCCAACGAGCCTCTTCCTTAAGGATGTCTTATCTTTCTTTGATATTTAGGGTTAATTCCTTTCTATCATAAATGGACTCAGGTCAAACCGTTGATTTTTAAACTTGAGATGTCTGCCTGAGGCATCAGCCTCCTGCCTAGGGCTGCCTGAGAGGTGTGGTTGCCAGTGTAGCTTTTGCTGGTCTGCTTCCTATTTCCAGAAAACAGGGCAACTTACGAAGCCATTTTACGATGTGGTAGAGAATTTCCAGTGTGTAATATTGACTTGAGAGAAGCGGTGCCCAGCCCCTTAGGTAGCTTTCACATTCACAGAAATCCCATTGGAGAGCTGGTCCCGTTTTGTTGTGCTCAGAATCCACTAAGATTCTTACAGCACCTGAGTCTTCCTGGTCTCGCTCAGTTGTCAGGAGAGCTGGTTCCTGTCCTATGAGCTCATTAAAAGGAATGCCCAGCGTGGATAAGTATTTTTATTGGTAGAGGGTATTATCAACACTAATCATAGAAGTTTAGGGTTTATCTCTGTACTCATCTTCCCATTTACACTGGCTCTTCCCAGTTCTGGGATTCTGATCCAGTGAACTTACAAAGGGCTCCTTCCTTCCGAGGGCTAAGCACGCCCAAGGTGGCTCTGGGCCTGCTGAGGCGGAGCACGTGACAGCAAATGCAGAGTGTTCAGCCACGTTTCCTTTACCACTGAATGGATACCACGGCTTCTGTGCATCCTTTGCTCATTCTACCTAAGTGTATTTAAAGACAAAAATTCTAATAGTTGTTATATTTGTTTTAACAGCCAATGATATTTTTAACCTTAACAGTAAATGAAATCTGCCAACTTTTTCTTTTTAACTGAGAGTTGATCTGTTTCATTTTGGGGAACATAAAAAGCAAATCAATAGTTGAGCCTTGTTGGAGCTGAAAACTGAAGATAAGGCATATTGGTCAATTTCCTTCTCAAACCAGATAAAATTCAAAAGATGAACAAGTCATTTACAACAACAACAACAATATTCCATGCTTGAGTCAGATGTTGCATAAGTTAGTTTGGGAGATTTTTCACTCAAAATGTCTGTGAAAAGAGGAATTTATGAAGCTGAACCTTAAAGCATAGAAGAGTTTATGCCTGTCACACAAGTAGACAACCTCCTTCCTTAAGTGTCGTCAAGGAGAGTCTGTTTTACAATTTAATTTTAGTTTGCAGATGCCAAGTGGAAGTCTTTAAAAATTAAGATTTATTTTTAAAAATATAAGTAGTACTCCTTCAAAGGAGTCCAAGATGCTGAATATCCTTTATCCTCTCTTATCTGTAGATCCTAGATAGCAGAAAAATACACTGCCAGCCAAACACGATTGCATCTCCCCAGAGCTGATCTGTAGCAGACTCAAGAATCATTATTGATGGACCAGAATCAATCAGCATTCTTCTCACTGACACACTTGGTAAATCATTAGCCACACAGGTGAAAAGACATTAAAGAAATAAAAACTCCCAGGAGCATACCTCTGTAGCATATTGCCTCCCAAGCCCACCGCATTTCGGACATAATTCAAAAAAGTTCTCTTTATAAGTAAAGAACAGCTATTTACCTTTTTTTTAAAGCAATGCTTTACACATCATAGATTATTAAATATCCTATGAAAATAAATACATTTTTCCCTCTAGATACAAAAACCCATTTTCCTGAAGTATTACAATTAAGCCTAAAAAGACAATTATTTTTTCACATCAGATGTAGAAACAAATGAGATGCTTCTTTATAAACATGTTCTGAAAATACAACCCTACATTATTATGACAAAAGAAAAAAAGAAAAAACTGGAAAAGATTCATTGACTACCTATAATTTGTGTTTGTCAGTAAATATAAATAAATATAAATAAAAACAATTGGAATACCAGCAACTATTTATTCACCATATC